ATTATACAAAGAATATAAAATTTTAAATAGTTAATTTGATACTAATATCAATATATTTTTTAAAATTTCTATGAGATATTCAAATTTATATTTTATTCAAACATAAAAACATTATTGTTTTATTAAAACCATATAAAATCGTATTATATCATCAACAAACACAAAAAATAAAACAAAACATTAAAATCAAGACGTGTTGTCGCTGCATTGCGCGAGTACCCTTCTAGTATATATCAATAACAATATATATTTTCTAATAATATATTAATTGACTTGATTATGATATAAAAGAAGTGCAAATAACATTCTCTGTGATTTTCTAAAATAAAGAAAGAGAAAAGTTCAAAAAAAACCCCAACAAACTATCTCAACAGATATTATTTTATAAAAGAGTCTGAAAAGACACAATTGCCCCTCACCGAGGGGCACATGTGAGGGGTTAACGCCTATTAGGTACTGGAGTTGGAGTGAGGGACGAAAATAGAAACCACATGGACGGAAAAGAAAAAACAGTTTTTTAAACCATAAAGACAAAAATTGTTATAAACACCAAACCACAAGGACTAAAATCATAGGAGCAAAATAGAGAAGAAAACTTGTATTCCATATTCTAGAGAATCTATTGGAGATGCTCTGACCATCCATGATTTAACACGATTTTTTAAAATGTCACATCATGATTTAAAAATTATCTAGAAATTACTCTTATTTATGATGATTTTTACTCAATAACTAAAAGTTATATTATAACATAACCGTTGGAGTTGAATATAAAAAAAAAAAAAAACTATATTTTAGTCAAATGGTAAAAACACAATCATTTAATACCAAATGATTCCTTAATCCAACAATTAAATAATTATTACTAACGTAAAAAAATGTAAAAAAAGATAACTACAAGGATGTTGTCCGATTGGTTTGAGTTTGAACTCCAAAAGTCAAAAGTGCTTGTAGGTATCAGGTTCGAACCCAATGTGAAATAAAAATCTTCTTGTGGCCACGAATGTTAAAATGCGGTGACTTGGAGTTACCCACGAAAGGAGTGGTCGTTCAGAAATTAGTCGGTTTGCATAGCAGGTTGGATATCCAGGTTAATAAAAAAATAATAATAATTATATAAA